CCTCAGGGGGTGCTATCAGAACGCGTGCCTGTCGGACCACCTGGGAACTGCTCCCAGACCAGAACCAGCAGCTTTTTTACTGCCAAGACAGGCATCCCCCCAGCTCCCCGGACTGGCAGACTGTGTGGGGGAAGGGAACAGCTGGTGGGGGTGAAGCCTAGTGTTTATTGATATTGTTCATGAGAACCCTGGGGAAATCAAGGTGAAAGGCAGCAGTCCGGCTAACAAGGAGAAACCACCCCCTGTTTATCAATCAGAGGGCCAAAGGAGCAAAGAGAGATGCTGGGGTGGAGACAATTGTGTGGGGGAGACCCAGGCATGCTTCCAGGGTCCCATGCCCCCACCCCACCCACAGTTCTCCTTCACACATGCAGGTTCCAAGCAGACTTTCTCCTCCCTTCAGTCTAGCCACTCATTCATTTAACATTAAAGCCCCTATTCTTTGCAAGGTACTGAGAATAACAATCGTGATAGGTGACATTTATACATGTTAAAGGTTTGTAAAGTGCTTTACACACATTAGCTCATTAACTAGTAAGTGTGGAAAGCTGGAATTCAAACCCTAGCATCACAAAGATTTATTTCAAATGACACAGTTCCTGTCCTCTCAGAGTTTATGTTCTACTGAGTTTCGAGGGGGAGGGGGCAGATATTGACATGAACCTGTGTTCATGTCAGTGTAAGGGATAAAAGCTAGACCAAAAGAGCTGAACTTTATTTTCTGTCATAGACCTCTTTGGCAGCCTGGTAAAGCCTAGGGACCTCTTCTCTGAATAATGTTTTTAAATACATAAAATAAAATATATAGGATTACAAAGGGAAACAATTATATTGAAATACAGTTTATCCATCCGTCTATCTTTCCATCTATCCATCTATTTATCTATCATCTATCTGTCCATCTATCTAGCTATCATCTATCCATCCATCCATCTTTCCATCTAGCCATCTATCATCTATATATCCATCTACCCATTTATCTGTCTATATATCTATTCATTTATTTAGCTACCATCTATCTATAACAAGTTCATAAATTTCAGGTTAAAAACCACTAAGATGTGATGGGGTCCCAAAAGAGAACCCAATTGGAACACTAATGCATTGTTGGTGGAGTTGTGAACTGATCCAACCATTCCAGAGAGCAATTTAGAAATATGCCCAAAGGGCTATAAAACTGTGCATACCCTTTGACCCAGCAATACCCCTTCTATGGCTGTATCCCAAAGAGAACACAAAAAGGGAAAAAGACCCACATGCACAAAGATATTTACAGCAGCTCTTTCTGTGGTGGTAAAGAATTGGAAATTGAGGGGATGTCTATCAGTTGGGGAATGGCTGAACAAGTTGTGGTATATGAATATAATGGAATACTATTGTGCTACAAGAAATGATGAGCAGTTGGATGTCAGAAAAGCCTGGAAAGACTTACATGAACTGATGCTGAGTGAAATGAGCAGAACCAGGAGAACATTGCAATGATCAACTATGATAGACTTAGTTCTTCTCAGCTACAATGATCTAAGACAATTCCAAGAGACTCACGATGGAAAATGCTATCCACATCCAGAGAAAGAACTATGGTGTCTGAATGCAGATTGAAGCATATTATTTGCTCTTTTTTGTTTGTTTTTTCTTTATCATGGTTTTTCCCTTTTGTTCTGATTCTTCTTTCACAACATGACTAATGTGGAAATATGTTTTTTTTTTAAAAATAAGAGAACCAAAATGCTCTAGAAAAATGTGAACTGGGAGAAAACCCTTTGGGGTTAACTGGGAAACATATCCTTTGCAAAGGTTAACTGATGGAAACCTGGTATAATTCTGTAGGCTCTAACAAAATGGGGAGAATCCAACCCAGTGCCCTTTGGGGGTATAGTAAGTGCCTCTTCCCTTTCTTTCTTCTAGTTTTCACCAACTTGGGAGTGAAGTTTTTTTTACCAACAGTAATAGGGTGCAAATGATGCCAATCATTATTATTAAGCCCCTTATAGTGAACAAAATTTTCCCGATTTGCCATCGTCAGAGCCACCCCAGGGAGAATTGTCCCAGGATTTAGGGGAGCCTCATCCTGGCTAATGACACTGGGATGTGAGGGGCCAAGTAGAGAAGGCAAGTTCACTAGCTTATGTTGAAAAGACTTGAGGGGAAACTATCTATACAACTACAGTATAAATAAAACAAATAATAAAATGAACCTGTGCAATTATCATGACCAATCTTGGCCCAAAGAAGAAATGAGGAAATGTACCTCCCTCCTTTTGCATGAGAGGTGGGGGAATGTGAGTGTCAAATGTTGCCCTCAGAACCCATTGTTTTATCTGTTGGTTTTGCATGTTTTATTTTTTTAATTAATTTTTTTCAAGGTAAAGCTCACTTCAAGAAAAGGAATATTTGGAAAAGACTGTGATATAAAAACAAAAGACATCAACTAAATTTTAAAAAAATTTAAAAGACCTGATGTTCATAGATCATCAAGACTGTTCCAAGGCCCACTCACTAGAATGGGACCAGTGAACCTGTTTTTGCATCACAGCTCATTCCTTACACATAGTAGGTGCTTAATAAACACTTATGAATGAATTATTGAATGAATGAATCAAGGATGCCTCTTCTCCTTCCTCCTCTTGCTTTTTGGAAGCTTCTTTTCCTCCCAAATTTTCTTGATATTCCCTTTACCCTAAACCCCCAGTATGAAAATGTGGAGGGCTGGGGAGCAGTCGGGAGTTCATCCCACCCACACTCAGGATGTGAGCTGTCCAAGGTCCCTACACTTAGATGGGTGTTGGCCCATATTCTTAACAGAGAAGGTGTCCTTTGCACTTGAGAGTCTTTTTAGTTTCTGTCTTCTTTCCAAATAGGATCCTCAGGTTGCATTCCACTGACTCCACATCAGACCTTTGTTCATACAGCTCTGTCTGAACATCTCTGCCTCTATGACAAAGGCTGTCCAGGCGCCCCCTCAGGCCTTCAGAGCAGGGAAAGATCTTTGTGTGTGAGAGAGAGAGAGAGAGAGGGAGAGACAGACAGACAGACAGACAGACAGAGAGAGTCTTAGTGGTGGGGGAAGGCTGAGAACAAATCACACTAGAGAGAGAGGCTGAGGTAAAGAATGAAAATAAAAAACAAGTGACACTAACAGAGCTTTTTTCCCACACACAGAGTCAGTCCTCTACTCCCTCCCCACCTCCACCTGTCCGAAATTCTTAGCTTCCTTTAGTATAACACATCACTGATTACTCTAGCTGCTAGTATGCCTCACTAATTACCCTTTATTTATTTTGTGTTCACTTCGAATATTTATGTGCTGTCTCTCCCTTTAAAATATCAGCTCTTTGAGGGCTGGGATTGTTTTTTCTTTCTCTCCAGTGCTTAGCACAAAATCAGTCCTTCATAAAGGCTTGGTGATTGGAGGATTCAAAGTATACATGTTGTTTCCTCAGATAGAAAGTTCCTTGAGGGCAGGGACTATATAACTCTTGTCTTTGTAACCCCAAATGCCCAGCACTGTGCCTGGGACTTAATCAATGTGTTTGTTTATTAAGAGACAATATGGATTTCAAGTCAGGAGTTCCAGTTCCTAGACTCCAGCCCTGTTTTGACCTTTTCTAGCATTGTGCTGCTGTTCAGTCATTTTTTTTACTCATGTCCAACTCTTTTTGAGCCCACTGGGGTTTTCTTGGCAGAGATATGGCAGTGGTTTGCCATTTCCTTCTCCAGACCATTTTATGGATGAAGAACTGAGACAAACAGGGTTAAATGACTTGTCCAGGGCCACACAGCTAGTGTCTGAGGCTGGATTTGAACTCATGAAGATGAGTCTTCCTGATAGTGCCTTCCCAACATCATCTAGATTAATAATAGTTACCCTACTTTCCACCACTGGGTAGTTGTGAATAAAGTACTTCGTACATTGCAAAGTACCATAGACATGATGATGGTGAGTGTGGTCTACTTCTAACCCTCCCCTCCTGTCCCTGGGAGATAGCTGCTGAGAGCCGTTCCCCATCCCCAACCCCTCCCCTTTGGTCCCAATCACTCAGGACAACACTACTGTGTTCTCCCCTGGACCCAACTGCCACCCCCCACCCCAAGGGCCATCTGAGCCAAGTGAAGATGTCAAGGGCTCCAAATCCGATTGACAGCCTCGACCTCCCCCCTTAATGAAGTTTATTATCAGTCAGCTTCTGATCCCTGTAAATCCTCTCCAGACAGGAGGAGGGCTGGATTAGAGGAAGACTGCTTAGTCCCAAAGAATCTGTTCCAGGCTGATTCATCCAGGGCTGCAGCAGATGGCTCAGGAGCCATCTCAAAAACACTGCCTTTCCCTAATGATCTGGGAGGAGGCTAAAAGAGCTGGGGGGAGGAGGGGAGAGACAAGGAGGAGAGGAAAGGGAGAGATGGGGGCTAGAGAAAGCATGTAGGGAGAGCTAGTTCTCAAGTGGAAATGAAAATTAAAGGCAGGAGTAGCAGGGGCAACGGGTAAGAATCAACCAAATCCAGAGGCCATTTTGTTAACAGGAATGAGGTGGACTGGAAAGCACAACCTTAGCTTCTTATGATGCAGTTGAAAGAACGTTGGCATTGCAGTCAGAGGACCTAGGTTCAAATTCTGACTTGGTAACTCAGTTAGACTCTCTAGGTCTCAGTTTCCCAATCCATGAAATGAAGGGATTGGAAAACGTGATTTTAAAGTCACTTTTGGCTCTTAATCTACGATTTTATGACCCTCTAGAGGCTGAGTAAAATAGTCATTTGGGCAGCCAGCTTAGGTTAGAGAGTGTCATAGCAACTCCCGACCATAGAGACCAGGTTCTAGGGGCTAGGATGAGGCCAAGTGATTCTCTTTCCCAAGTTTACCTGTAGATTCCCCAGGATGACAGTGGGATATTCCAGAGGCAGCAAGTTTCATCGAGGTTGGTCATTTCTATTTTATAAGTCCAGATGCGTTCTATGCTTTCTCTTTTTCTCATCAGCAAAGGCAAATAATGCACAAACACTTGCCTTAGCAAAAAATAATTTATTCTGCAAATCACCAGCTGAGATAGGCATTTCATAGACTCAGGCTGCATTCTTCCTTCCTGCCCCCATCCTTCCATTTGACCAATATAGAACCTGGTGTCTGTAGGGAGAGGAAACCCTGCTAGCCAAGCCCAATATACAGTCAACCAATGCCCCATGTCACTGTCAGAGGAAAAACAGGAAGATGAATACAAGAGGACATAGCTCAAAATACAAGGCTCTAGCTCAACAGAAGGAAGAAAGCCAAATGACTTTCTCCCGAGCCTTTTCCCTTCCTGCGAAGAGTTCTCATCTCTGGTGTAAAGCTTCCCTCTCCCATGATCACAGCTATATACCAAGCCACCCAGAACCCACCACAAATAAATTATAGTGCACCCCCAACACCCTGCAAGCCCCACCATGCCCCCTTGCTACCTAATCAAATAATTCTACCCACAACCTTGGTGCAACTTTGCCCCCTACCCCCACCCCCAGATGAGCAAACACCAGTGAATTCTCAATGGCACTCAAGGTGAAGGTGCTGCTTTGGGAAGGATGATTACTTTGGAAAGAAAGCTAGCAGCAAGTGTATCTGTAGGGTTTCAGAGGAAATGCAAACCCACCTAGGTAAGGATTCTACTCCATTCTAACCTCCCCCATCCCCCCAACACACACATCCAAACCTACACCTAAGAAAGCTGCATAACCCCAGAAACTCCCAGGTTCCAATCTCAGACCAGACCCCACAGTGGCTAAGCAAGGCACTAGACCTCTTCACTGGGGGGCCAGAACTTCTGAATTATGGCTTTTTTTCTTCTTCATTCTTTTATTAATCCAAGAGTGTCCAGGGTTCCAAGTTTTTGATAGGGTCCTTGGGGCTGAAGAGGAAGGAACAAAGGCTCATAGCAATACTGCCGAGAAACTCCTCATCTTCTAGCACTCTCCTGTCGGTGGAAGGGAAGAAACAAGCTTGCTTCAGTGTTGGGGGCATTCGAATATTAGGGCCTAGGACTTCAGAAAGAGACCTGGTGTTTCTAAAGTGATGTACTGGCAGCTCAAGAGGAATCCAGCCTCAGGTCTCCCCCTAGTTCCAGACCTCAAACAAATGTCTGGGAGGCATATCATAGAAGCAATGATTCCATTCTCCCACATTGCTAGGAGAGGTGGAGGTGGGGAAGCAAGGGCCACATGGGGGGCTTGAGGGAGTCTAAAAACTAATTTGTGGCAGGAAGATCAGTAACTGATGGAATTCCCTTCATTCAATGCTCCTCTATGGCCCGAGTCCTAGCTATGACAGGGATAAGGAGTGCAGAGTGCTTCCTTCATCAGTGCCCTCCTCTACCTCACCTCCTAACACTGTTGTCAGATTCAAGTTGACCCAGAGTCACCTTCAAGTGACATTTCCTTCCAGCCGGCATCCCTCCCTTTTATCCACAGAGGGTCATTGGTGCTGTGGTCTTTCTCACTCCCCACCCCCTCCCCACTCCCTCACCATCTGGGAGCTCTTAAACCATGGAAGGAGGTAGAGAAGATATGCCCCTCCACTCTACTCTCATTCCTCTAATGTGATCTCTGCAGCTCATGCTGAAGAGTAGCTGGTTCTGCCCTTTCGAGCCTTCATCCTCTCCTGGAAATAGGTGCACATGACTATGAGACAAATGAAGGACAGGGAGTAGAGCCCAATGCAGAGACCAACATCCAGGTAGGAGAAGCTCCCCCTAAGTATCCACAGCCACTGGCCACCCGGCTGGGCCCTAGCTCCCACCTTTCTCTTGTAGAAACTGGACAGTTGCTTGACTTCGTCTGCATCTTCCTCCAGCTGCAGGGTCAACGTGTCTCGCTTGGTCAGTTTCTGTGCAACCTGTGGCTTTGGGAACAGCTCACTGGCTCCGTGGTCCAGCATCAAGGGCTCAGCTCCACCATACGGGATCAGGGACTGGGCTTCATTATCTGGGTTCGAGGGCTCAGCTCCATCATTCAGGATCAGAGATCTATCTCCATCGTCAGAGATCAGGGACTTAGCTTCATTAGACTTATCATTATGGGCATCTCGGTCTTCTCTTGCCTGCTTCTCTGGGAGTTCCTTCATTTCCTCCACACGGGAATATTCTGGCAACTCTGTTGTCAAGCCATCGCTCTCTGTTGAGATGACTTTTTTCACCATATATGGAACTCTACTCCCCAAAAGCCAGGCCAACAAATAATCTGAAATCTCATTTTGATCTCCTCTCAAATCTTCCTCTCTCGGTGACTCTGTAGGACTTGGTTGCTCAGCGAGAGGGGAGGAAGTAAGATTCTCCAGCTCTCTGTGCCAGCTCCCAGAGCCAACCAAGGCTTCCACAGACCGTTTACGGTCGATGACGATGTTCCAAAGAGAAAAGTGGGACTTCAAAAATTTAAGAGTGGCACCTAGATCCCACACAGGGTCTCCTTGGATTTCATTGTGGCACGAGTCACATAGGTCCTTTGGTGGCCACTGGATCTTAGGGAAATGAGGGTCCTCACTAGCTGTACCTGGAGAAAGAAGTACACAGGAAGATGAATTGTGACCCACTGACATCCAGGAAAAGAAGACCAGGGAGTCTAAAAACCTGAACGGGAGTCCTGATTCTGACAGCCTAGCAACCTTCTGAGCCTCATGTGTTGTGAGAAAACTGTTTTGCAAGCTTGAAACTGCTATATAACTATAAATTTGATCATCATTATGGACTGGCTCTGGTTCCAACTCCTCCTTCTAGGGAGCTGAAGAAGCACGAGGCATTCCCATTTGCTCTGTCACTACCTCCTAAGGTCTTCCAGGCCTTACCACTCCCCTCTATACCTTCCAGATCCTCCGCACTATCATCTCACTTCCTGATGAAACCTAAGGATCCACTGATGTGCCCATATGACTTCTGGAACTTTCTAATGGCCCCATCCCTGATCTTTCTTTTATGTGTTGTCTCACCTAATTAGAGTGTGAGCACCCTGATATCAGGGACTGTCTCATTTTTTCCACTTGTATCTCCACCCCTTAGCATGGTACCTGCCACATAAATCTCCATCTAAGTCATCAGGATTTTTAGATTGTCCATTCATCCCCATTTGTTTTTCTGCTAACCCTTTCCTCTTATTCTTAGGGAAATTTACTTTAATGTTCTCTATTTCAACTATATACTGTTTTTAAAGTAAAGAGATCATGATGTCCTGGAAAAAGCATTGGATTGTCCAGAATCCTGAGTTTTGGTCTTGCCTCTGACTGACTGGCTGACTTTAGCCAAATCACTTTGTTTCTCTGGGCCTTGACCATAAAGTGAGGGGGCACTGGATTACATGATATCTTAAGGTTCCTTTCAGGGATGATAGAATTAAAACCGTTATTACTCCCAAGCACCTTGTTATTACCCAGCTACAATCATTTCACTTAGCAGACACCAAGTTTTATTCTCCAAGTGGAAATGGGGATGGTGATGTCTTAAAGGATGGTAGGGGAAGAAGGAGGACCAGAGACAAGAAGGTCTCACTTGCTCCTTTCAGGCTGTGTGTGGGTATGGAGGAAGGGTACCTGTTCATGGCCAGCAGATACATCCTTTACCTGACTTTCTCATCTGGATCTTTTACTCTTTTTGAGAATGGACCCCAATAGCTGCTATAATTCAGGGATGAAGTTTCAGACCATTTATTATGAGCATCAGTGTCCTTTGCTGAATAGATATTTAAAAATACTTGTTGATTGATTTATTTTTTTCCTTCTGTATCATAAGACTGCCACATAGGCTAAGCACTTCCCTCCCTGGAAGCTTAGGTGATTTAGTGGATAGAACCTAGAGTCAGAAAGACCCTAGTTCAAATCCAGCCTCAGACACTTAATAACTGTATGATCCTAGGCAAGCCACTTAACTTCTGTCTGCCTCAATTTCCTCAACTGTAAAATGGAAATCATAACAGCATCTACCTTAAAGGGTTGTTGTGAGGATCAAGTGAGATAATATCTATAAAGCATTTAGCGCAATGACGAGCATACAGTAGGCACATCATAAATTCTTATTCATTTCCCTTCTCCTCCCTCTATTTCCCTGGGAAGAACACAGAATGATAGAATTAGAGCTGGAAAACATCTTAGAGGTTGTCCAGTTCTACCCCCTCATTTTACAGATGAGGAAACTAAGGTCCAAGGAGGCTAAGTGACTTGCCTAGGGTGAAATAGCTAGTAAGAGTCTCAGGTGAGATTCAAATCCAGCTTTTCCTGACTCCAAGTTCAGAATTCAATGCCATTTTCCCATCACAAAATGAAGGTACCTTGCTTTATACCATGAGTGTGTTCCAGAAGGAGACAGTATTATTAATATTTTTGAAAAATGAATCCTAACTTAAAAACACTAGGGGAAATTATTCTTCAAAGAAATCTTATGAGACCCCCTTTTTGTCTAGTGGAGGGTCATTTTGTAAAGGAAATAGCTGGTCCTCCAACTTATGTTTCCCATTTCTGGATTTCTGTATGTTGTGTTTTCTTCAAGGGGGCAGAGGAGTAGTGAGATGGCACCAGTCTCTCTCCCAACACACAAACATACACACACACCAGCTCCAAAGAGGATCTCTCACTGGCCCTCACATTTGGTATCATATTAGGAGGTGAGGAACGGAGACATCGGGGTTTTCCTTCCAGTTTGCAGGTGGCAAAACTGAATCTCAAAAAAATTAAGTGATTTGCTTTCCCAACACCAAAAGTATGTAAGTAGAGGCTAGGGAACAACTTGTAAGGAATTCTGGCAAAGGGATTAATATAATGGGTAGGAAGTCAAGTTTGATGGCCTCCGCGGCCCCTTCTAACTTTAAGATTCTATGACTCATTGCTGAAAGTCATATTGATGCACTGAAAGAACTGGAACTAGGAATTCCAGTGCTCTCTTCACTAAGTTAGGCTGCCATAAGGAAATCACCTGTTCCCTAAGACTTTCTCAGCCTCCTCTTAGTCTGCATGCTTCTGTCACTGTCACCACTATTCTTCAGACACCACAGCTCAAAACCTCCTTGCCATCTGTGAACTTTTATCTAATTAGTCACCTCCATGGCAATTCTCAAACTCAGTTCTTCCTCTCTATTGAGGAAGACATGGGTTCAAATCCTACCTCAGGTATTTATAAGCTATGCGAACCTGGGCAAGTCATTTAAACTCTCTGATCCTCAGTTTCTTCATCTGTAAAATGGGGGTTGGGTAGGAGGGTCAGATTTGATGGCCTCTAAGGTTCCTTCTAGCTCTAAAACTACAATGTTATAGTCTGTGATTCTAAATGAAATTCTTGTATTTATCATAGCCTTTTGTCTAGACCTTTCCTTTACATGGATCTTATTCTCCCTTACATCATAATTTTTTTGTGATATAGTTTTCCACCTTGCTAGATTGTAAGTTCCATGACAAAAGGGTCTGTGCCCTCTTTATATCACCAGTACTCGGCAAAGTGCCTGACACACAACAGTCACTTAATAAGTGAATGTTTGTTGAGTGAATAAAGGCACCAACAAACAAACAAACTTGAAAATTGTAGGAAGAAGGGATGAGAAAGGCCTGGGCAGATTTCTCTTCTCTCAGTGAGTAGAGAGTAGGAGGAAGTGAGGGAATAAGTATTTGTATACCACCCACTAAAAAGCATTGTGATAATTGCTTTTACAAATATTATCTCACTTTATCCTTACAACCACCCTGGGAGGTAGGTACTGTTATGATCGCAATTTTGTAGTTGAGGAAACTGGAGCAGATTGAGGGAATTGAAGGGATTAGAATAGCAAATGGTTAATTGTAGGAACTGAGTGAACCACACTGACTCCATTTTGTGACTCAATTCTGGAGCTAGTTCAATTCCCTTTCTATTCAATTATGAATCTAGTCCAATTTCTGTCTTGTGTGAAAACTTTATCCAATTATAGGAATTGGGGGGCAGCTAGGTGGCACAGTGGATAGAGCATTGGCCCTGGAGTCAGGAAGACCTGAGTTCAAATCCAGCCTCAGACACTTGACACTAGCTGTGTGACCCTAGGCAAATCACTTAACCCTGATTGCCTCACCAAAAAAAAAAAATTATAAGAATTGGGAGAAAACCTTATTGCATTGTTTGAAACCTAGCCCTGAGTAGCTGGGAGCTGGACCACTTCTCCCTGCTATTTAGACACCCTTAACTAAGGACCTCGGTTATGTTGACCAGAAACCGGGTCAGATCCAAAGACTGATGTAAGGAGTTTTCTCACAATTGTACATCTCAATCAACCCACATGCCACCTAAAAACTGGCCCTATATTGATCATTGTTTCCATGTTCTTTGAGTGTTTACAGCTACTTGGTGGGGGGGGGGGAAGTGGGACACCTCTTTTTCTGAATTCAGGGAATTACACCTGTTTGCTCTCCCCTTCCCAACTTGGAAAGTCCTTAATCTTTCATCCAATTAGAAATCAGATTACCTAATGTATTGTTTCAACTTAATTGGTCTTATTTGATTAATGATTTTTAATGTATAAAAATCTGTCTCCCCCTGTATTTGGGGGTCCAGGACTAAGATGAGAAAGTCTGGTACCTCTTTGTTAGGCCACTGGCACACATTGCTTAGTAAATCGATAGGCTCAGAAGAGCAAACCTTCAATTTGCTCAGTCATTTCATCTTTCACCCACCACAAAACAGAGGCTGAGACTTACTTGACTGGGGTCACATAGCTGGTAAGTGTCTGAGGCCAGACCTAAATAAGTTCTCTCTTGATTCTAGAACCAGGGTTCTGGCCACAGAATTCAGCACTGGCCCATTGGTCTTTGCTAGTTTCTCAAGCTAGAGCACTCTATAAAACACTAGAGCTAGCACCCTCTAGTGGCAGGATTAAGCATCTCATGCCTGTTGCTGCTCAGCCCCTCCATGGAAGGACCACAGGCCTTTCTGGGGCGGTGGCTGTCTATGGAATGCACAAGGGGTGGAGATGGTTAAATGGAGCATTTGATGACAAGTGGAAAGGGGAGGAGGAAGGCAGGGCAGACAGAGAAGCCAGGCACGTGTCAGCTTTTCAAGCCCCACCAGATTTAGATGGAAGCTTTGGCTCCCGCACCACCTGCTGCCGTATTCAGCGCCTCCAACCTCCTGGATCCCTGATCATCAAATACCACATCTATATCTCTCCACCCTCACCCCCACTCATGCACAGAGCCCTAAGGTTGGCTCTCCATTGCTTATCATGTGCCCCAGAAGCAAAGCCAGACCCTTCTTCCATCATGTGGTAGGAGTTCTTAACTCAGGTTCACTAACCTCCCTTGGATTTTAGGGGGTCTGTGAACTTAGAAAAAAATAATTACAACTTTATTTTCCCTAACCTCTAACTGAAACTTATCATTTCCTTAAATTATGAATTAAAAAATAATTATCCTCAGAAGGGGTTCACAGGCTTCACCAGGCTGCTCAATGGATTCATGACATAACAAAGCTGAAAATCTCCTGATCTATTGCCTTTGCCCTCCAGGCCTTAAAGTGCATTCACCTCTTACTATACCCATATAGGAGAGGTGACAAAAGGCACGCAGATGGCAAATGACTGATCCAGTGTAGCCCAGCTCTAAAGTAAGGCTGTCTTCCCTCCTCTAAGCAGGGCACAGGTTTAAAGTGTTGCATATGCTACCAGACTTGGTCTTTGTGTTGGTGAATTATGACTAGCTGTTCTTCTTTGTTACAAGGGATGGTTCTATTTGTGGCATGTGGTATATTGGGTATAGGACTTTAGTGTTTTAAAAAAGGCATCAATAAAAGTGGAAAAAAGTAAAGCAATACGCTATCAAAGAAGGTAGGAGTCAAGAGGGCATAGCTTCTGGCTTAGTATTGGACTGGTCCATCTCTCTCAACCTCTGCCCAGGAATCTGCTGCTTCTCCCATGCCTTCCATTCTCCCATAGAGATCTAGTCTCTCTTCAGACCAGGCCCTTACCTGCTAGGCGAGCATTGACTCGGTTGTGCCGGTTCCAGAACCAGAGGACGGCATCGTCCATACTCTTTACTCGGTCCATGGAGGCAGCCGCCATTTGCTCAAAGTGTTTGGCACATTCTCGACAGCCAAAGAAGAATTTCACATAGCCTCGGATGGCTTGGAGGACTTCCTGGGGATCTTTTGGGGAAAAGGACATGTCCCTGCTCAATAAAATGCACCTCACTTTCTCCTTTATTTCTTCCACCACCACCCCTTCTCTCTACAGAATCCAAAGCCATTTCCCTGCCTGTTACTTAGAGTTAAGTCTCATAGTGGTTCCTCCCACTTCCTGCTCTCCCTCCCCCATCCCAGCCACTCTGATACTCCACCACTGATCTAGGTTAACTACTTCTTGTGTTACTAAGGGACCCATGGAATCTCCATCCCTTCAAGTCTTAAAAAGTATGACAAATGCTATTACAGTGGCATTATTTAGACTTAGCCTGCCTAAAGGCTGGGGTCTCTGATCTCTGGGAATCTTCCTCTCTCAGGGTGTGGCTACAGTGGATATTCAGCTATGCTATCTACTCAGGATACCAGTAATTCCATGCATGTAAGAGGGGTCATGGCAAATCCCACTCCTGACACCAGGTAAGTCCAGGGAACCACTTGGATTCCCAACCTCTGTCCACAGCTCTGCTCATTCTTCCTTTTCTTAGGGAGGGAAGTCAGAGGTTAAGGATGGGGCTCAGCTAAGCATTCACCTGCTTTCTTCTGAAGGTACTCATTGTGCTGAGCTGCCTGTACCGTCAGCGAGTGGAAAAGGATCCAGAGAGAACAAGGAAATCCTCGGAAGTGAGGTTCGCTTCCCTGGCAGCCCACCCAGATTGATTTCCTGGGCAAAAGTACATCCTGAGGCGTGGGAGTATCAGAAGCAATCGGTCAAGAAAAAAGAACCATAATAAGGGAGGACATGGTCAGCAAAGGCAAGTCTTAATACACAGTCAGACAGAGAAGCTTCCCTCCCTGCTGGACCCCAGAAACATAGTATTTCTCCACCCCACCTCAACATCTGAGCCACCAAATGGAATTACTGGCACTGGAATGAAGCTCCAGCAAGATCCTTTATTTCACCCCACTGCAGATGTAACCCCACGCATGGGAGTGTCTTGAAATATGCCGTTGAAGAGGAAAGGGAAATCCAGGTGAGATTCGGAGGTACATGGTGATGGGGGAGGTGAAAGACATTTCCAAGCTCTCCTAGCCCCATCTGAATACAGACACAAGGCCAGGGATGGGGAAGCAAATCATTTCCATTCCAACCAAAAGAGAAAAGACAGAAAAAAAAAGATGGAACCCAACAGCCAAGGAAATTCATTCACCTCTCTCCAGCTCTTCATGGCCATTCCCAAGGAGACATAGGGTATACTCTTCCTCTGCTGCCGCCGTAACCACACATCCATGGTATGAAGGAAATTCCGGACCAGGGGCTGGCCAGGGTAGTACTGTAGCAAGTAAGCAGAGGTGGGAGGGGGGAGGAAGAAGGGAAGGTGAAAACCAGAGCCTTAGGTTCCCTGAGGCCCAAGAAAAGAGGTGGAGGTCTGTGGGGGAGCAGGAAGGAGCAGGACCGAGAAAGGATATGTACACCACAAAGCTGTAGCCATTCAAAACCCTAAGTACTATGCAGAGAGGCATTTCTCAGGGCGACCATCTTGAGAAAAGCTGTTTTATGTTGGGAGACTGATAGGGAAGGAGGGAAGGCGAAGAATGAAACTAAGCAGTGAGGAACTGTCAGAGCCGGATGCTCTGGCCTCACCTCTAGTGGATCAGGCACCTCTTGGCTTAGGCAAATCTACTCCTTCTCCTTCCTTCTCCCTCCCCGCCCCAAGGTTTGCTAGAAGGAAAGGCTGAAAGTTTCTGACTCCTAGATAGGGTTGTGGGGGATTCACAGGCAGACTGTCCTTCTTAGGAAAAAGGACTTTCTGCATAGTTATCTGACTCTTGACTGACTGGTTAGGAGAAAGGGCCTTTTCCTTTGTATTCTAATGGTTGCCATGGGAGGGCCTGTAGCCAATCTCCAAATCTTGATCTTAACTCTAAAGAGTCTCTGAGGAACATGAAAAGCTACTATGCCAATAAGTCAACTCAAATCTGATTAGTATCAGCACTCTAAAACCACAAGCACTTGGGGGAGAGGGTAAGAGTGTGTGAGTGTGTGCGTGTGTGTGTGTGTGTGAGAGAGAGAGTGTGTGCGTGTGCTACAAACTCAGTCACAAGAAGAGAAAATGCAGTGGAAGAAGCCAAGAAAGGCAGAGAGATAGGCAGGCAGATGGAATCAAAGTATTTAAGGTGACACAGGGAAGGCTGGGGAAAAAAAAAACAGAGGAGAGAGAAAGTTACGAAGGAAGTGGGAGCTATAGATGGGAATGAAACAGAAACACCGATAGCTGTTAGACAAATCTAATCCCTCAAGGAGAACCAGCTTGGAGCAGTACATACAGCTGCCCCGAGAGTCTGGAAGACCTGGGTTCCAATCCTGCCTCTGAAACAAACTTGGCTGTATGTAAGGTATTTAACCTCTTCAGAGCCAGGGCATTCTCTAAAGTTGCACAGCATTGGTAAAGGTGGGGTCCCTATACCAGGAGCTCCATACACAGAGGAAATCAAAGGGCCAGTGAAAAAAGATCCTTCAAGACAGATCCAGTAAATATCTTGAGCAAATCTTAGGCTGGACAGCAGCCCAAGAGTCAGGGGTCAGGGGCTGCTAGAAACTATTCTCCTTTGACACACATTTCCTGTTAACCAACACTGGGGCTCTCAGTGGGCTTACAAATCTAAATTAATGGGTAGACCATTGCTTGGAGGTCCATAATTCTTTCTGACCTTCCCCCTTTCTTTACATTGACTTGGTACTTTACCCCTTTCTTAAGAAGCAGATATCATAGAGGAAAAAAACCAACAGTGAATTCCTGGTGATAGCATGCAACCTAGTGGCCAGGACTGGAATGACAACTTGTAAAGACCCTAAAAGCATCCTGTCTAAACAAGTTGTTGAGATACACAGCTGGAGTAGGAAGACACATGGAGCTTCAGAAGCCAAGCAGAAGAGAAACCAGCAGAAACCTTCTTCTCTGGGACAGTGAGGCTAGTAGTGAGAGACTGAGGGAGTAAAGGAGTACATTTTACTAGAAAACTAAATCGACAGGCTAGTTCAGCTTAGAGCTCCCTACCCAAAGAGAAGAAGGATTGGAGCCTCATGGGGTCTCCACTGGAGACTGTTAAGAATCCTATTGGGTTCCTGTTGCCAATGAGCCAACACAATCCAACCTCTCTCCACTGACTGGCCAATCACTTCCGCCTACTGCCACTTCTGATCAGTCATCAACAGACATTTTTTAAGTGATAACTATGTGCCTGAGATTGCACTAAGTACCGGTACTTATTGCTAAGGCTTCTCCTCGTGCCTGGAATGCTCTCCCTCCTAACCTCTGACTCTTCTTCAAATCCATGACTTCCTCCAAGGCTTAGTCCAAATGACACACAACTTGGGCAGAAGGCAGGCTTAGCTCTGCCCCACCCACCAGCAAGTAGATAGACATCTACTCTGCATGTGCAGGTACACAAGGCTAAGCCTGCCTCCTGCCCAAGGTGTGTGTCATTTGAGCTTTAGACAACATGTACCCCAAAACATACAATCACACACATGCATAAACATACATGTGTGCATACAGACATGTCTGCATTTGTCCTTATATACATATGCATATATGTATGTACATATTGGTTTGTGTGTGTTTGATGTCTCCCTTGGATGGTAAATGCCTTGAAGACATGGACTGGTTTGTTTGTTGTTAATTTTTTTCTTTGTATCCCCAGGGTTTAAATAGCGCCTGGAGCAAGGAAGTACTTGGGAAATACTCTTTGATTTGATTAAACCACAGCAGGAAGGTCACTATGTCTTCACCTATCTCTCCTATATACCTGGTTGGGGGCTTACCTAGGAAATTAATAGAACTCCTTAGGTCACTTAATTGCTGCCTCCTCCTTTCCTCACACATACCGGGGCCTATCCACCTTATGCTCAAACATATGACCTGGGAGCAAGAGATTAACCCGGGGTACAGCATAAGGGATTTAGACAATGATGGCTTTCCTGAGGGTTCTGAGAACAGAAGGGATTAGGTCCAGGAAACAGCCAAATGGACTCATGTGGAGGTCTGGAAACTCCATTACATGCTCTGTCCTCTGCAGAAGGCAGGAGAATGTCTCAGATGACCTCTCAAGCTCCTCTCCAGCCCTGCCCCAGCAGCACAAAGTCTCTGGGCCTTGGAGGCTGCCAGTTCTCCCATTCCATTTCAGAGCTAGGCCAAGAAGCTACAGTGACCTCACCGAGATGCCAAAGGCTACTCTGGCTAGAACCAGCAGTTTAGTTTTTGGCAAGTTACTTACCAGGCCTGAGTTTCCTTCAGAATGCTCCCAGCATCACCCTGGGCAGGGTTCTAGGACTCAAAAAGATGATTGGATCTGGGCCACCCCCTACCCCAGGAGCTGGGATGAAACCTGGACAGTGAATAAGCCTGAGGGGACTGGGGGCCTGGGAGGAAGCAGATGCCTGTATCTTTTCGACTGGGGGGAAGTTTGGAGGGGTGACCCTTAGGATATAGAGCAAGGCAGCGTAAGCCTCAGGGAGGCAGGCAGTCATGCCTGGATGGTGGGGTGGCTCAGAGAGCTGGATTATGCTCCTTTGGTTGGCATGCTGGAATGCCCAGAGCAGCTGATTCAGCATTCAGCCAGCCCTTTTATCCAAAGCCCACACCTGACTCAGCAGCACTTAGTGGCAGGTGCCTTGGGTTTTAAGTAGTGAGGTTTTGGCTGCTGTTCTTGAGACAGGGAGAAAATGCCAAGGATGGTAGAAGCAGAGTCAGCACTCAGCCTGTGGAGCCAGAGAAGGACACCACCAAGATTCTGGGGCTATACTCTTGCCTAGAAATTCCAAGGAACTTATATTGATTTAAAAAAAAAAAAGGAGCATTGATAGTAAACATGGTGTAGTGGAACAAACACTGTCAGAGTCAGAGGAGCTAGGTTCGAATTCTGCTGGCAAGTCACACTGACTCTCAGAGTCTCAGTTTTCTAATATGTAAAATGGGGATAAAATGCCTGAAACTCTTTACTTCACAAGGTTGTTGTGAAGAAAATGCATTGTAAACCTTTTATAAATATTATATATAATAATGTTACATAAATGTGAATGCAGGTGGTCTTTATTGCAGGACTTTCAACTTCCCCACTTTTACCTGAAGGATGTGATGGAGTGTAAACTCCAGATCAGCTAGATAGATAGATATGGACATACACACAGACACAGATATAGATCTTGCATCTGGGGACAAGGATGGGAACTGAGTGGTTTATACAGCAGGGGTTTGTGGAGGCAGTATGGTTTAAGGGGAAAATTCAGGGTTTTGAATGAGCGTGTCTGGGTTCACATCCCAGCTTTACTACCTGCCACCTTGAGCAAGGAGTCACTGAGCTCTGAGACTCAGGTTCATCATCTATAATACTGCACAAATTATTTACAAATATTTCACATTCTCCTCCAGCTCTAAAATTCTTTGATTCTATTCTGGCCAGGATCTGGGAGGAAAGAGGGGTTCTCTGACAAGCTAGAGATCTCTTTTGTCCCTCTGTCACTCAGTAGCACCTCATACACCCCAATCTAAGAACAGAGAGGTGCCTGGGTGGTAGGCAGGTAGCTTTCAGGTTAAGACTCTAAGGTAAGTAGCTGGACAATTGGACAGCCTCCAACACAATGGCCAAGTTCACAGGATGCCACCTCACTAGGCAGTTTCTAGGGTCATCAGGGAAATGCCTAGCTTCCCCAACCCATTCAGGAGGGATCCTCAGACATACCCAGGCACGGAAGAGCCTCAGGATGACTGCATGAGCCGGTAGTGACAGGCAGTGAACGGAAGAAGCAGGCCCTAATTAATCAGTTAAGGAGGAGTTAACTTGGGGGATGAAGGCCTCGGGCCCAACTTACCTTGGCCAGGACTGACACAAAGTTTTTCAAAGCTGTCAGACGCTCTCCCTCCAGGACTTTGAACTTGCCCACCTCTATGTGAAGGATGTAGTGGAGAGCAGACTCCAGATCAGTCATATATATCTTGGAACTGGGGACAAGGACAGGAAGGAGAGAAAGGTGGCATTGACAATGGGGAGGGACAACCTGGGATCTGCAGGGGAAGGGATTGAGTTAGAAGAAAGGGGAAAGTCTTTGTTTTCTGATTGTCCCACCTGGGGCCAATGTAAATAATCCATGGTCAGAGAAACCATGGATTTTCATCGTAGCCTCAGACACTAGCTGAATGACCCTGGGCAAGTCACTCCACCCCTCTCTAGAGTTCCTCATCTGTGAAACAGGAGATTGGACTGGTCACTAAGGTCCCCAGGGAACCCTATAGGGTTTCTTCATATAATAATAATAATAGCTAACATTTAAAGATTGCTTTAAGGTTTGCAAAGCCTTTTACAATGTCTTGTAGCCTTTGATACAAGAATATCACTTGATCCTTGCAAACCATCTATAAGGTAGGTGCTCCTCCCCTTTAACAGAAGAGGAAACTGAGGCTGAGAGAGGTTAAGTAACTAGACAGCTAAGGAAGTGTCTAAGGCAGGATTCAAATTCAGCTCTTCCTGACTCCAAGTCTATCGCTCTAACCACTGCAAGCCATCTAGCTGCCTAATCAAAAGTCATCTTGTTGCTGGGCTGAATTCTCCTTGGGCTAAGGGCAAAGAGGGACCCCTACTCTTTCTCCTAGGGACTCTCCTTTCCCACACTTAGAGGTGTTATGAGGGAAGCCGCGTGGAAATCCACTACTTCAAGCTTTATAAATATAACAACCCTAAAAGGTTGGTGCCATTATTATCCCCATTTTATGGATGAGGAAACTAAGACAGATAAAGATCAAGTGATTTGCCAAGTATCACATGACTAATAAGGCCAGATTTGAACTCAGGTCTTCTTAACTCCTCATCTAGTAGCTCTATCTACTGGGTCACCTCATCAATCACGTTCTGGGACCTGAACCTTTTTTAGAGGTCTTTGGGGCTGGCCATCCCTAGGAGGTTCCATTCATAGATGCTAGGAACTTTGAAAGCCAATTCTAACATGGAAGCTGGCTCTACTCTTACCTCTGACCCTTTCCCAGCCAATGGGTTATTCTTGCTAGGTAGCCACCCACATCTGGGAGGGAACCAACAGCTTCCCTGAGCTTCTCTCCTCTTCTATGCCTCTTTTGCCCTTTTGGGGTCTGGGAAAGCTGTCTATCAGGGGAAAGATTCTCTCTGAGGCGGGTGACTGGATGTCCTGGGGCTGCATTCATCCAGGAATCCATTCAAACACTTCTTGTGTACTTAATGTTTGCCTAAGTGAGTGTCTGCTGTGTTTAAACAGTAAACATAGAAGGCCTGAATCAGCCCCAGGATGAATTAAGGGGAATTTCAAGTCACCCATTCTAATGTCAACAAGGCTTCCTCAAAGTTGAACCTTTCTGTCTAGGAACTTCTGAACTGTCACTAACAGTGACCATCCTCCTCAGGATTTGAGTTCTAATCCTAATTCTTTCACTATTAATCTACATGGCCCTGGGCAAGGAAGACCCAGGGTCTTAACTGCTTAAGGTTAAGTTAACCTCCCTGGTCCTCCATTTCCTCAATGCAAGGCAATGGGATAAAATGTAAAAAGCACTGGATAGAGTCAAAAGACCTGTGTTCAAACCCAAACCTTAGGAAGTCATTTAGCCCCTCTTGGCCTCAGCTTCCTCAGCTCTGAAATGTTGTACCATTTCTAAGGTCCTTTCCAGCTCTAAATATAGCATCCTATAAAATGGGAGTAAATACTACTTACTCTTCTACCTCACAGGTTAGCTGGAAGCAAATAAAGCCTGACACATTCATTAGGTATTTTTTTTCCCTCTCCAGGGCAGTTTCTTCCCTAGGGCACTTACTTATCTGCTTAGGTTTACTGCTAAACCAGAAGCTTACATTTACATAACTGCCGCTTTCAATGTCTTGCTTTAGGCAACAAACACCACACTGCCCACACCTTTCAATCTCTTTGTTAATGAGATCTTTGTTATCTTCACTTTCCATTTTCAAAGTGGACTTTGAATCACTGGGACTTTCAATCCTTTCTAAAATCAATGGACAATCAGTGATTAAAAAAGAAGAAAAGAAAGGTCTCATCTATACCAAAATATTCTTAGCACCATTTTTTTTTTTACAATAGCAAAGAAATGGAAACAAAGCAGATGGCCATTGATTGGGGAATGGTTAAACAAACTGTGGTACATGAATGACATGATAACTATGGAGAAGAATGAAAAGACTTAAATGAACTGATGCAAAATGAAGAAGTTCCTAGAAAACAATATATACACGGACCACAACAGTGTAAATGGAAAGAACAAGAAAAAACAATTGGAACTAAATGCTGGAAGAAGTAATATGAGAATGTACCTCCTTTCCTTCTTTGCAGAGGTGGGGGGTGTGGCCTACAGGTATGGAATATCACATATGCTGTCAAATGACAGCAGGGTGGGTGAGTTTTCCTAAGTTGCCTCCACCTCAATACTGTCCCCCTGCCCTCCCCACTTTTTTTTTTATTCTTTGTTACAAGGAATAGCTTGCAACAAAGGGTAGGGAAGGGGAAAGGAATATGTTTGGAAATGAAGGTAATATAAAAACAAAATATTAATTTTTTAAAAATTTAATTTAAAATTTTTAAATAAAATAAATGAACATTATACGTTTGCTTCTATTACTCCTAGAGACCTGTTTCCTTTCCTCAACTACCCATAAGAAGTCACTTGAATCCTCCTGCATGCTGAAAATTTGGAAAATTTCCACATCATTTGGGACCTAGAGCAGGGATAGTAGGCTTGCTGTCCAGATGCTCACAGTTCCATTTTCCAGAACATATCTACACAACTGGGACTAGCAGGTGGTTTACAATAAGAATAAAAGCAAAAGCTATCCAGCCTCCAAGTAAGGAAAGACTTTCTAGTCATGGGAGATGCCCAGTGAAAAAGCAGGCTACCTTGAAAATGAATCCTGGTCCCCATCAGTGAATTCAACAAATTAAAGTGCTAGTCAACAAATTAATTAGAGAAAGTAAAGTAATAAAAAGAAAAGTAAATAAACATGTATTAAGTATATTGCCTACTATGTGTTATATAATATAGTTTATATTATATTCTTATATTATGTATTCTATTATAATGTATATTATTATACTATATATTGCCTACTATGGGGTAAGGTGCTTGCTGAGGAGTTTTAAAAAATGTAAAATTTAAAATAATAACAATAACCCAACAAGCCAAGCCTGCCCTTGAAGAGCTAACATTTTACTGGGAAGATAAAATATAATTACAGATTTGTTGTTAAGTTGTTTTTCAGATGTGTCTGATTCTTTGTGACCTATTTGGGGGTTCTCTTGGCAAAAATACTAGAGTGAGTTGCCATTTCCTTCTTCAGCTCATTTTAAAGATGAAGAAACTGAGGCAAACAGGACTAATGACTTGCCCAGGGTCATATAGCTAGTAAGTGTCTGAGGTTGGCTTTGAACTCAGGTCTTCCTGACTCCAGATCTAAAGCTCTATGCACTATGGCACCATCTAGCTGCCTCATAAGAGCTCCACTGTTGTTGAAGGAAGTTATTGATTCAGTGAGGCAGGGAGCACATTCCCAATACACACAGAGACAGTTATATGGAGGATATCTGCAAACAGGAGTGAAATTAGAGAAAGGAGAGGAAGGATGAAATGCTGTGCATGGGGAAGAGCAAAACAGGCCAATCTGAGTGGAACAGAGAGCGTATGAAGAGAGAAGTAAGATGGAAAAGCTTAGTGGGAACCAAACTGTGGAGGGCATTAAATACCAGGGTGAAAATTTTTGGTCTTTTAAAGTTTAAGGAGTGACTGTGAGGCAGATGTTTTAGGAGTATCATTTTGGCAGCCACAATCATAGACTGTTTCATGAATTTACACATGATCCTTATATGCAGGAACCATGCTAATCTTCTCCGTAGCATTCCAGTTCTGAAGCTGGTTGGTTTATCCATCCATTAGGAATACTGACAGAAGCTCAGAGTTAGGAGGGACAATTGGTTTGGCTTGTACCTGACAACAGGAAGTCCTTCACCAACATCCACTACTAGGTGGGACTCTGGACTCGATAACTCCTAAAATCCCTTCCAACTCAATGGTTCTGCTCACATTCCTTACTACCACTCCCCACACACCCAGAAGAGTCAAGAGTGGGAAATGGAGTCGCTGATCATTATAGAGCACAAGCATCCTTACTGGTCTACAGGACGTGGTATCCATTCTGCTGTGGTTGGGTTGACCGTTAGGGTTGGGTTGACCGTCGGGGTAAGAGTCCTTTTGCCCACTCCAGGTAACTTCTGTAAGTAAGTGCTATAAAGAGCTCTGGATTCCATTAGCCTGTTAAGGGAGAGAGATAGAGAAGAACATGAGTGAATAGGAAGTCAGTGGGGCTGGGAGGAGGTAACCCAAACCATTCTGCTAAAATTCTGATCTTCTCACCTCAGACAGAAGCAGCAAAAGGGAGTCTCTGGCCCCAGATTCATTGCAAAGAATGGGAAATGGGAGAATCCAACATGTGGAGATTTTTCTTTAAGAAACAGTAAAATTTTCAAGTATCTGTCTAACTAAGCTCTGGGAGAGTTCAAGAAAAGAATATCTTTATATTCCATCCTTATTCCTTTATAGAAAAACTACCTGACTGGAATCTTCCATGTTCCATTTCAAAAAGCAGCTAGGTACCCAGAAGGGCTATAAACTGTTTTCCATCTTGCAAAAGACAGGTGCTAATCTGGTTAGAAGGTGCTACTTTAGAGAATCTACTCAGGCAGGGCCCTCTTCAGGGATGGAAAGACCTCTACAGGGAAACTGATCCAGCCCCTAATGAGACCTAAGCCTTCTAGGTCCTCAAGTGTGGCCTTTTGACTGAGCCCAAGTTTTATAGAACAAATCCTTCTATTAAAGGGATTTGTTCTGTGAAGTTTGGATTCAATCAAAGAGCCACACTTGAAGACCTAGAGAGCCACCCCACCCCTAGACTAGATGTCCAACTCCCTCCTGAAGAAACTGGGGGAAGATAAGTGACTTGTCCAGCATCACACTAGTAATAAGCATCCAAGGTAGGATTTGAACTCTGGCACTCTGACTTCAGCCCCAACGCTCTTTCATTTGTGTGAGAGGGATATTTATAGCACCTATTTCACAGGCTGTAGAGAAAATCAAGTAAGATAATACTTGTAAATTGCTTTGCTAACCTTTAAGCACTATATAAGTGCAAGCTATTATTACTATCATTATTATTACTATTACTGAGCTGGATGGTGGTTGGGTTGGGTTTGGTTTTTGTTTGTTTGTTTCTTTCTTTCTTTTGGCTAGGCAATGGGGTTAAGTGACTCGCCCAGGGTCACACAGCTAGTAAGCGTCAAGTGTCTGAGGCCAGATTTGAACTCAGGTCCTCTTGACTCCAGGGCTGTTGCTCTATCCACTGCACCATTTAACTGCCCCTAAGCTGAGTGCTTTTAAACTTGAAAAAAAAAGTTTTATTGATATCTTTTATTTTTATATCATAGTCATTTCTGGAATTATGTCTATCTCCATGTCCCTTCAAAGTGAAACCTTTCTTTTAACAGTTAAACAAAAACACTTGATACAGTGACCACCTTGAACACTACATGCAACAGTGTATCCTCTTAATTGCAGACTGTCCCTCTTCCCTTCTGCTCTGTTGTCTAGGACTATATTTTTGTGTGTGAGTGGGTGTTTTTGATAAAATGGACACATTCACAGACTGAACTAACACACACAAATGTATGTACTTCCCTCGAGGACAATTGTTACCGAGTGATTTCTGCCTCTGCCCAAGTAAGAAAGATCTCAAGTTTCTGTAGTGTTTAAAGATTTGGAACCTGTGAGGTAGGTTGTGGAAGGATCATTTTCCCATTTTATACCTGTAGACTAACCTCACCTTAACAGCGTCAGATTACTTGTGTGACTATTGGTCACAGCAGACAGATGCTAAGGCTCAGACTAGGGCTTCAGGGACACTAGAGGTATAAATTCCCTGGCTACTCACCTACCTCGGGAGGGAGAGGAAACCAGGAAGAAGGCAAAAGGACAGCTTTCCCCCACCCAAGAGAGAAATTGAGAGTGAGGAACAGTGGCAGGGGATCTGGCATCGAGAAGCCATCACTTTCCACCCTGCTTTCACGACCCGATGTTTATCGATGAGCAGATGGCTGGGAGATGGCATCGTCACAAGCAATTTTCCCCTCCACTAACTCTATAGCAAGGAAACAATGACACTGCTCTCTGCCAGAGCTGGCATCATCTGAGCCAGCCCAGAATGCTAAACCCCCTTCCGTCCCCTCTCTGCCACTCATGCCATCCTTTCTCACTGCAAACGCCACCAGCTAGGTCTACCTAGGAGATGAAAGAGCAGACTCAGTCAGGGGTAACAGGGTCTCAGGGAAAGAGCTAACTTACCCCTTACCCCCCTGCAGAGGAATGGGATGGCACCACTCACCCCCCACCCTACCCCAGATCACTTCCAGAAGCAACCTGAAACCCAAGCTTTTGTCTCCCTGCCCTTCCATGCTCTTTCTTATATGGCTGACATCCATCATCCACGGGGGGGGGGGGGGGGGGGGAGGGCACCCTCTGGCCCATATTTAACGTGCTATTCAGCAGTGGGGACTGCCAGAGGGGCCCAGCCGCTGGGCTCATTGTTCTCTGCCAGCTTTTTGGAACTGGCTATTGTCTGATTTCTAATGAACTTTTCTGCAATTAGGAAACCAAAGGGAGGGAGGGTCAGGCACATTTGGTCCCCTGCCAAGCTAGTAAGCCTGCCAATGTATCTGCCCACTAGCATCATGGTTGGGGATGAGCTTCAAAGTTGCAATGGGCTGGAACACCTCTGCAGAGTACAACAGAAGGGAACCAGGGTCCTTGGGACAACTGGTTGTCGGTGCCTTCTCTGTGCAAGACAAGGGGGCAGAGACAGAGCTGATAGAGGAGATGAGGCATGCGCTGAGAAAGTACTCACACAGAGACCCTGGACTTGGAGCCATTTCTGGTCAGTAGGTAGCAGGAAGGGAAGGCAGTGACAGCAAATTTCTTTACTATATCATCCTGTACATCCACGACCCTGCGCACTTTGATGCCTTGATACTGAGATAGGTCCAGCTCCACCTGCAAAAATCAATGGATTTGTTGAAGGGACAGGCATTGGACAGAATGAGCTGGGGGACAGTCAGTCTCTGGCTCCAATGCTCTCTGGATGACTGAATCACAGTTTTAGAGCTAGATGGGACCTCAGAAACCATCTAGTCTAAGCCTCTCATTTTACAAAAGGGGAAACTGAGGCCCAGAATGAGCTTTGGTCACACAGGTATCATGATTTGAACTCAGGTCCTCTGACTCCAAACCAGACTCTGGTTGTAATTAACCTGGGGTAAAGCTTCTCAGCCCTTCACTTCATGGCCACTGCCATGAAGAACACCAACTAGGAAACCCATAGACTCCTACTCATTTGAAAACTGGGGGGGGGGACCTTTAAAGGCAGGGCCCTTTGACCCACCCTACAATCATTTCCTGTGGTCACTGCCTTTCCTACTGTCACATCAAGGGTCTAGGGGACAATAATAGACAAAGACCCAGGGTCTGGGGCCATTGGCTTCTCACCTTTGGGTGAGAATAGGTGCCTGTAAGTCCTTCTCCCCATCCCTCCTGCCCCCACACCTTCAGGGTCATCTTCCTCAGTTCAGCCCACCCAGTACAGGGACTGCATTGAACTTTCCAACTGCAAGTTTTCAGTGAGGGGCTCCCTTAGTATCAACAATTACAGGATCAGAGCTTTAGATGTAGAAGGCACCTCTGAGGTCATCCTCCTCATTTTACAGATAAAGAAACTGAGGACCATCCAAGTAAAGATCACACAGGTAATAAGTGCCAAGCCACGAACTGAACCCAATTCTTCAGATTCTAAATCTGTCACTCTTTCCACTGTGCCAATTCACTTGCATGTCATGGCATCACTTTCCTGATGTCACAGTCCTCTTCAAGAATGAAGGTCAGACAACAATAACAACAACAACAACAATCTCTGTGTGCCACAGCACAGTCCCCTTTCCCCCTTTCTCCTGTTTCTCTGGGGCTCTCCTAGGGCAGACCTGGAAATCTCACCCAGGCACCGGCACAATCTACCTTTGAATTAAATTAGTTCATGAATAACAAGGGCTATACAGAGTGTGTGTGTGTGTGTGTGTGTGTGTGTGTGTGTGTGTGTGTGTGTGTGAGAGAGAGAGAGAGAGAGAGAGAGAGAGAGAGAGAGAAAAGCATAATATGATGAAAAAATTTGCGAGAGGCAGACAAGGTATATTAATGAGGTGTCAAACTCCTTTTTTTCGGCACACTCTGCTGAACCAGATTAAAATGTAATTGAGAAATGTTCAACAAAATAAATAATGAAATAAAATAAAAATACAATATTGATCATTTTAATTTAAGGTTTTCTGAGCCAATATTCAGCCCACAGGGATCCATTTGTATTTGAGTCTAATATACCACTGGTATATAAGAGAGTTGGCCTTTGCAGGAAGACCTAAGTTCAATTCTTTCTACTGACCATATGACCTTTGGCAAGGTACTTGACCCCGTTCCTCTCCCCTTCATATTTCCAGGCATTGTCTAAGGCTCTAAGATGTAGGTCAGGCGCCAGTCTGCATTGGTAGAAGAAATTTCTTCACCAGGAATTCCCTAATACTAATGAAATCACAGGTCTGGTCCAAAAAACAAAAACAAAAAAACTGAAGCCTTGGATTCTAGTCCCAGCTGCACCACTTGTCTTCTCTGAGACCTTAAGCAAGTCACATCACTGGGCCTCAGTTTCCTCATCTATAAAAAGAGGGCACTGGGATAGCTGCTTTTTAAAATTAATTCCTTTTCTATGATTCTGCAACATAGAGAGAGATCACAAGGTAACTGGTGGCCAGCAGCACATATAATACCTATCTCCTCCAGCAGGTGTCTCTATAGTGAAAGAAGCTGGCAGATCAAACCCCACCCCCTCCACCCCCTACCCCCATCCCAAATGGCAACAACTCCGCCATCTAAACTTTAACCTTGCTCTCCAGGGAGCTCCAGGTGGCTTACCTCTCTACCCAAATAGGAGTTTTCCTTCTCAAAGATCAGGGCCAGGTATTCATCACTGTTTCTCAAGAAGAAATTGTCGATCTCCTCCAACCTGTAAGAGATAACACTGGTTGTACCCACTGGAAAGAGGTGCCATTACTCCAGTCCAAAGAACAGCTGACTCCCCATGAGTGTATGAGACAATGATGATGACACAGGACTCAGAGAATGGCAGTAAAAACCTCCCTAATAATCCTCCCCAAGGGCCCTGCCAGAAGCATACTTTGCCTGCTCATTCCAGGCTTTTAAAGCATGGGGAAGGGAAGGGCTATGTGCCTACTGTGCTTTAAGCACTTTTTCCTAATATTATCTCATTTGATCCTCACAACAACCCTGTTAGGTATGTGCTATTTTACAGTTGAGGAAACTGAGACAGATTTGTCCAGGGTCACACAGGTTAGTGTCTGAGACCAGATTTGAACTCAGGTCTTCCTGACTCCCGGCCCAGTGCTCTAACCACTTGGCCACCAGTCACCTATAGACATCAATAGGGGAAAAGGAAAAATGGGCATTTTGGTCCTCATTGGGAGAGTGTTGAGCCCTTACTCTGGTTGGCCCTGATTATGTAACATCGCTCCTTCATTAGGTCCCCTCAACCTTCTTTTTGAGAGTCAAGAATTCAGCCTTTTTAGAGCCTCCAGATGACTGATGATGAAACACGCTACCTACCTCCTGATAGAGAGGGGGTAGACTCAGGGGGCAGAATGAAGCATGCATTTTCAGGCATGGTCAATGCAGAAATTTGTTTTGCTTGACTATGAATATTTATTATAAGGGGTTTGTTTTTGTTTTTCTTTTCCAGGGTGGATATGGGAGAGAGAGAAAGCAAATGCTTGTAAATCAGGGGGAGGACGGTTCAAAGGAAAAGAAATTGGATACAAGAAGGAGATACAAAAGCAGTGAGAAGAACAATTAGTTCATTCAGTCAGAATTTGGGATTCGGGGGAAATGGAAGGATATCTGCTCTCCAGAGTGTCTGTTTTGTGACCAGATCCCACTGAGTGGGGCATGCTGTGCACTCAGTAATATGACAGATCTAGCTTGTTTGGGAGAAAAATGTGGCTGCCCAGAGGCCTGAAATGAGAATTCTCTGGCTTAACAACAATAGGAGTAGAGAAAGAACCAGACACATTAGACTGTAAGCTCCTGGAGGGCAGGAATTATCTTTTGCCTCTTTTTTTTTTTGTATCCTTAGCACTTAGCACAATGTCTGGCATACAGTAGGTATCTAATAAATGTTTATTGACTTATTGATTGGCACAGAGACCTGATGCAAAAGGTATCAAAGGAACTTGATATCTGATCCTCTTACGACCATTAAAAAGAGGAATCATGGAATGTCAAACCCAGAAGGGATTTCATCTGGTCCAACTTCATTTTGCAGATGACGACACAGAATAGAAGACAAAATGGAAAATCAGACAAAAAACTGATCACTGGGGGAAGAAAAGAGCCAGTCATAGAAAAAAGCTGGAAATGTTAATACAAACTTTTAAGCAAAATAGATTTGACTTAGAAGACAACTGATTTCATAAGATACCTTATTTAAAATAATTTATAATTAACAATCTGAATAGTACCAGCATATTTAAGATGCTGACCATGTTAGCCTAGAGCAATCCTGGCAAACACATGGATTGTGTAAGAGGAAGAGGAAAATGTCAGAAGGGGTTAGAGCCACTCCTCTCAATAAGGTGCCCAGGGGATGGAAAATGGGATCTTATCTCAAAGCTGGAACCTGAGAGGTTCAATTCAAGTTAGTTTAAGGAATATGAGCACCAACTAACATATACTAACTTGAGGCAACTAAACTATGTGGCACAGTGGGTAGAGGTGCTGGGCCTGAAGTCAGGAAGACTCATCTTTGTAAGTTCAAATCTGGCCTCAGACATGTATTAGCTGTGTGATCCTGGGCAAGTCACTTCACCTTGTTTGCCTCAGTTTCCCCATCTGTAAAACAAACTAGAGAAGGAAATGGCAAACTACTCCAATATCTCAGCCAAGGAAACCCCAAATGGGGTCATGAAGAATTGGACACAACTGAAATGACTGAACAACAAACAGCCAAGGCATTGTTGTTATGGTCAAAAATGAATCAGCCTCCACCCTCTTGTATTCTACTCAAGAGGATGCCACATCCAAAGTAATTTCATTTCAACCCCACACAAACTAGCAGAACAGTAGGTACTACTGAACTCTACTCTTCCTAATCCACTCATTCCCCAAGGTCTTCTCCAGGAGGCAGTTAACCTTTTTCCCTACCGATATCTAACACCCACAAAATACTCTTTTTTTTTGTTTTTTTGTTTTTTTAAGGCAATTGGGGTTAAGTGACTTGCCCAGGGTCACACAGCTAGTAAGTGTCAAGTGTTTGGTCTGAGGCCGGATTTGAACTCAGGTCCTCCTGACTTCAGGGCCAGTGCTCTATCCACTGCGCCACCTCGCTGCCCCCCACAAAATACTCTTTAAAGGGATGACTAAGCAGGTGGGTCTACAGGTTTGACTTTTTGTCGACAGACCTTCTCCCAGCTCACAGGAGAGAGGTTTTTAGGAGCCCTCGGAACTGAAAATGTATGAGTGTGTGTGTTGGGATGGGGTTGGGGAGAATAGATGTGTGTATATACAACATGGAGAAAAAAAATAAATTTCCTGGATTTGTGGAAGTAAAAAACCTGGATCCTCACCTCCGCTATGTCCCTTCCAGTCTCATCTCTGGGGCTCTTATGACAAAAGGCCTTTCCTGATTCCCTCAAAAGTTAGTTCTTCCCTCCTGTCCCTATACTACTTTGTACTGATTTTCTATATATTTTGTATTCATTCCAGTAGAATATAAGCTTTTGAGAGATGTTTTATTTTTATCTTTGCACCCCCAGTGTTTGACATATAGTAGGTACCTAATGAATCCTTGTTAGATTTAATCAAATTAGCTATGGGAGAACACAGGCAGTTTCCTGGAAAAAAAGACAACAACCCAGTTATAAGAATCCTCAGGACATGTTGGTTCTAATCTTGGGTTCTATCACCCACACCCAGGGCAGATCTATCACTGGATCTCTGGGTTCTCTTCCTTGTAAAACTTGGAAAAACAACCCAAAGTTCTCCCAGAGGAGAGCTATAAGGAACTAGTAATTAATGAGTATAAGGTGCTGGCAAGTCATAAATAAGTATGCAGTTGAGGAAATAGGCAGTTCCCTCCTGCCAGCTCAGAATGGGTCTGCCGAGTCTCCATCAATCCTGAATATCGATGCCAATTCCCTCTTCCCTTTCCTGACCAAATAAATTTCCTGGATCCTAGATCATTTATATTGTATCTTCCCCTCCCCCTAGCAGACTTGGCTCTATTTTCCAGAGGCCCACAGAGATAAGCACAGTAACCTATCTCAATCACCCCTGGACCAAGCCCTGATCCTACCATCCCTTTGGAAAACCCCAGGCAAGCTAGATATACCACCCATTTTCCTATAAGATAGTCCATCAATGAAACCAGTCTGACTATCGGAGAGGGCTCATTGGTGACTATAAAGGAGAGTTGGTACCATGCGATGAACCTTGAGGCCTACCCCTCTCAAAACAATCAACAGTCAGCCAACAAACATTTATTGAGCCCCTACTAAGCGCTTCCTTTCAAGGAACAGTGCAGAGATATTCTCTTTTTCTTTGTTCTTCAAGGGTATTGCTCTATGCCAACTCCCTCTTCCCATGCCTGAACAAATAAATGTTCTAGATCCAAGATTATTTATGCTGTATCTCTCCCATACCCTAGCGCAATGCTCAGCACATAGTAGGCCTTTAAAAAATAGACTCTCAGGATTTAGCACTTGAAGGAACCTTGGAAGTCATCTTTCATTTTACAGATATTTGTTGAATGAATAGATGGATGGATAAATGAATGAATCATGTGAGAAAACTTGTTAAATATACAATAAGACCTACCAAAGACATACCAAGAAGTGAATAACTACTGAAATCTGTGGACATCACAACTGTCTTCTCCCTTTAGCCCACCCCTACCAAAGGTCAGTCTGTCTGTGGTGTGGCCTACTCTCCCCACCTCCCAAGACTTCTCAGCTAGAACAGCATTTGGCCAGTTGACATTAACAGAGGCCCTTGATTCTATTTGTGAGGGGTGGGGCCAGTTAAAAAAAATTCCTGGGGAATTCCTACATAGCAGCTGCTGACTAAGACAACAGTGGCAGCCAAAGTCGAGGTTCTGGTGAATGTCTATATTTACAGGACAAGAGGCAGAAAAAGATCAGTCAGAGGTGGGTAAATGTGTGCCTGCCTTGTGGGAGGAGGCCCAGCCTGGGGGAGACAACAGGAGTGACCAATCAGCTCCACCTGCCCTGCCTCGAGCCATCTCCTCACCCCTTACACCTTTGTCTTTGTGAACAAGATAGCATCAGCCTTCAGACCCCAAATACCTGATTGGTGCCAACGTGGGACAAGACTGGGGCCACGGCCCACCACTATGTGTCTCCAGGGCATCGATGAGCGATGTCTGAAGCTCTTCAACACTTTTCCCAGCTACTGCAGGAGGAATTGGACAGTGAGAGAAATGAGCTCCTGAACACCTGTCCTCAGTAGCGGAGATCAGGGAAACCCTTCCCAACCTAACTTCCCAACCTTATGACACATTTACTTCCCTGCCTGCATGCTCTGGTCTAGCCAGTTTGGCCTTCTTCCTGTTCTTCACAAACAACACACCATCTCCCATCTCTATACCTTTGCAATGGCTGTGCATCTCATGCCTGGAATGCACTCCCTCTTCACCCTGGTCTCTTGGAATCCCTTGCTTCCTTGTTAACTCTTGTGGAATGATACCTTCTACATCAGGGGTTCTAAGTTCGAGGTCTGGGAACTAGGTTTTAAAAATCCTTTGATAACTACATTTTAGCATAATTGGCTTCCTTTGTCATTTTATTTCATACATTTAAAACATTCTGAGAAGGGTTCTAGAGGCTCTACCAGACTACCAAAGGGGTCCATGATACAAAAAAAAGGTTAATAACCCCTGCTTGACATGAAATCTTTCCTGATCCTCCCATCTTTCAGTGCCAACCCTTCCCCAAATTTACTCTACATATTTTATATAAACATATTTATGTAAATACTGTCTCACCCAATGGAATGTAAGTTTCCTGAGGACAGGGGCTGTTTCACTTCTATCTTTATATCCTCAGCCCCTAGAATACTGATGCCCAGTGGACAATTAATGGACTTGTTGACTGATTGACTGAAGGGAGTTTGTATTAAGCAATGGCTCCTTGCTACATTTAGAAACCCCCAGAATTCTCTGGCTAACTAGGCTGGCTGTGACCTTCACTATTGCCCCTGATTGGGATGGAGCATATGTAGAGCCACAGAGCCTTTGACTTAGGCCACTACGGCCTAAACCTCTATGATGTGGATCAGAGACCTAAGCCAGATAAAGAGACCCCTGAGTCTCCAAGGAACCTCAACCCATTCCTTAGAAAGTAAGAAGAGCAGTGAGCAATGATTCCCCGCTCAAAATCAAGAAAATTATGCCTTTCTTTGGGGAGAAAGGTCCTTCTTACTTAAAGGATGCTCTTTGATGGTTTTCCATTTGAGTACCACAAACTTATCCTAGCCATAGAGCTCTGTCCCTTCTTATGCCTAAGGATGACACAAAAACTCCAGCACCTCTTCAGGTATAGCTCCCCCTACCAGTGAGTGCCATGCTGTCTAGAAAGGACACCTCCTCCAGGCTGGTGAGAATTTGATCTTTGACCTCCTCCCTCTCACCCTGACTGAAACTCTCCTAAGGGAATTTTTCAAAGGACAACCCTCCAGGTTCCCAGGAGCTATGCCCTCCCATCACCACAAAGAAAGACAGTGATGTGATGGGAGTAGGGGAAGGTATAGGGGAGCCAGGAGAGAACGTTGGGAATGTTGAACAGGTCAGTCAGACCTAAGAAGAGGACACAGATACATACCTGTGAAATCTGTTCCAGTGGAAGAGCTGTTTGAGAAGGCTTTAAAAAACTGAAAGTAAACACACACAACACCCATGATTTAGCATCCCTCTGGACTCTGGCATCCCATTCTACCACCACCACCTCAACACTCTTCACCATTTTGCATTTACATGATTTTACAATTTATAAAACATCTTCACAAAGACTATCTCATTCCATCCTGACAACTTTGTGCAGGAAATAAGAGCAAGGCTTAGTATTCCCATTTTCCAGATGAGGAAATAAAGCCTGAGAGAGGTAGATCTATTTGTCTAAGACCCCACAGGCAGAGCTAGAACCCAGGTTCTCAAGGTTACAGGATCAAAACTTTAGAGCTGGAAGGAATCTGAGTCCACACAGTCCAACCTCCTTATTTGATAGATGAAGAAGCAGTGCCAGCTAAGTGAAGTGACTTCCTCAAGATAACAAAGGCAAGAATGGACAGAGGGGAGATTGGAACCACAGTCCTTTCCCCTTGAATCCAGGACTGTTTTCAGTCAGTCTAACATTCTGTGACGCACTTGGTTTGGCAAAGCTAGGTGCTGGCTTCCATTCCTTATCAGAGTTGTGCAATCTCTACGGAGTAGACCAGGCAAAATTCCATGATGCTAAACCATATCTGCTTCCTCCTTAAACACACACACACACACTTACACAAACATACATACAAACACACATACACAAACATACATACATACATACACACAAACACACACACACACCACCACCACCATGTACAGGTCACCCCTACACTTCACTGAGAAAGCTAGAAACCTTCCCTCTGAGGAGTCTTAACTATTCCAGCATTGCTCCCTGCCCTGGGAAAGCCAGAATTAAGAACTCAGTTTCTCTCTACCTGGCTGCTAGGGACTCAGGTAGAGTATTACCAGGAACCAATGCACAAAGAGGGCAGTCATTCAACAATTGAAGTAAGGGAGCAAAAGAAGAGCCCAATTTGGTGCCCATAGGGGGTGAAATCCAAGAAACAAAGAAGTAATGATACAGATACATGGTTTCCAACCATGTGCCTATCCAACAGTGACTTATACACCCTATGCCCTCTTAATATGAGAGGAAAACCTCAAGGATACCTTGCCAGAGGGTCAGGTAGGTACTCTGGCTCCTGTTGATGCCGCTGTTCCCTCAAAAGAAGACATGAGAGCATGTGGGAAGCTAGGGAGAGCACATGGCAGAGGGCATGAGAGCCAGGGAGGGGTGAACTGTGCTAGGGGAGCAGCTGGGAAGGGGCCTCCTCCTGAGGGGAGGTCAGGGACATTGCTCACTCTACCCTTCCTATGGGGTCCACTGCTCATGGTATGAGGCACAGAACACAAGCTGTACCCATCTTCCCACTCTCCTGGGCTCCAGCCCTGCCCAGTAGACAACATCTTCAAAATCCAGTTAAAGAGCTCGATGTTCAACCTGGCATTTCCTCTGCTATCCAACCTGGACCTGTGGCCAGGCAGTCAGCAGAATCTCCTATTAAGAGGCAAATGACCTCCTCCCACCAGGAATAAAGTTTGAATGACGGTAAAGGGCCACAAGTTTGAAAAGTAGTCAGTGGCCCCAACCTCCAAGTCCTCTTCCCTTCATCCCCAGGATTCCACCATAACTTTGTCTACTTTACTGAAATCAACAATATCCAACCCAGCCTCCCTTATCTTCCCTCACTAATGTCCACACATAAAAATCTCTGTTCTCAAAATCCCTCTATTCCTTTACTCTTGTCTTTCAGGAAGAAAGGCATCCTTCTGACTATATTCTTAACTTCATCCCCTTCTGCCTCCACTAGTCTTAAAAAAAAGTATTGATAGCTTTTGTTTTCACATCTTTCATTTCCAAATCTATCCCTACCCTACTCCCTCCCCAGAGAGCCATCCATTGTTAACAAAAATGAAAAAGAGAAAAAATCAGTTCTGCAAAACTGACCAACCCATTAACTGAGTCTGATAGTATATGCATTGTTCCATACCCATAGCCCCCCACATCCTCACAGAAGGGAAGGAAATGCATTTTATACTATCTGCAGGGTCAGGCTTGGTCATTATTGTTACACAGCATTCAGTTTCTTTTTGTGGTTGGGTTTTTTTTTTCCATTCACACTATAGTAGTCATTGTATCTACTGTTTTCCTGGTTCTGATTACTTTGTATCAGATCATAAAAGTCTTCCCATGCTGCTCTGAATTCCTTTTCAGAGCTTAGAAGGGCCTCAGAACAAAGAGGACCTCAGTTCAAATTCCTCCTCTGACCCATATTGGTTGTGTGACCCTGGGCACTCTAGTATTCAGAGAACTCCCAGTACTCCAGGCAACTCTGAACATTGCAGAAAAGGTGTTGACTTGCATTGGTATTGGGAGTTTCCTCATCTGAGAATTCCCTATACTAATGACATCATAGGTCCGGTTCTTATCCTTGTTCCCTCTATGTTGAAGACTCCTGGATCTCGGCAGCCCTAATGTGTCTCCCCAACTACAGTCCTGAATCACCAACTGCCTAGTGGACATTTTCAATTGGATATCCTATCTAAACTCAACCTATTCAGAATGGCGCTCGTCATATTTGTCCCCAAACCTTCTCATCTTCCTAACTTTTCTTTTCCCATTAAGGGTACCACCACCCTTCCAGTCACCCACATACTCAACCTTGGAATCATCCTGAACTTGTCACCCCACCCAGCCAGCCACTTCTCGTCATTTCTGCCTTAACAACATCCCCCAAATCCACCCGCTTCTCTCCATTTATATAGCTACCACCCTAATTCCAGTCCTTCCATCATCTCATCATCTTAACCACTACAGTTCTCTAATCCTACTTCAGGCCGTCATCACCTTGGACTACAATAGCAGTGGGCTACTAAGACCTCTCACAGACCACTACAGCAACATCTTAACTGCTCTTCCCAGCTCCAATTATCGTACCACCTTCTAAACCGTCCTATCTACTAATGCCCATTCATCTCCCTAATATCCAGATCTGATCAGAATAGTCCCCCGATCAAAAACCTTCAATGTCTCCTATTGCTTACCAAATAAAGAGACCCCTTAGTTTGGCATTCATAGACCTTTATGCCCTGTTCTTAGCCAGCCCTTCCAGGTCTATCCGTACTAGTTCCCACATGGTCTACATTCCATCTAAGTTGGATTAGTCACCATTCCTGGAACACATCCTTGACTCTCCCCCACCCTCCCCTCTGACTTTGTTCAAGCTGTTCACTCTAAATCCTAAATCATTCAAGACCTCGCTCAAATATCACCTCCTGGGGATCCCTCTACATCATAGAACATCATGGAATCTCTCCCTCTGTATCATGTAATCTCTCCCCTCTTGGAGTTCCCAAAATAATTTTGACACACACATATATATGTGGTATGTGTGTGTGTACATGCGTGCGTGCGCGTGTGTATGTATATGTAGATATAATATACCCATACACATGTATATATGTATATATAATATATCTAACATACACAACATATTTAGTACATATTTAATAGCCCCAATCATAACTCATTTCATTACTACATACTGTAGTTTTATACTGTATATTTGTTTTATTTACTCTTTCCCCAACTAGATTATAATCTCTTTAAGACCAAAGGATTTTCTTACTTATCTCTGTATTCCTCTGTCCTGTGCCTTATACTTAAAAGGGTACACAACAGTAAACTAAGAGGGTGACCATCTATTGGAGAATGACTAACCAAATCACGGTACACAAATATAACGGAATAAGAAATGATAACATGGATGATTCCAGAGAAAAGTGGGAAAACCTGTATGAACTTATGCAAAGTAAAGTGAGATAAGCCAGAAGCACAACTATACAATAACATAATGGAAAACATCTTTGAAAGACGTGAGGCCTCTGATGACAAACCACTATTCCAGAGAACTGAAGATAAAGCGTGCTCCCTACCTCCTGACAGAGAGGTAATGGAATCCAGCTGCAAAAGGAGACATACATTTTTGGACACAGTCAATGTAGGAATTTGCTTTGCTCCAGGTATATTTGTTACAAGAATTTTCTTCTTTTTTGTTAAATTGAGGGAGAAGAGGAAAAAAAAATGCTTGTTAATGGGGGAAAAAATTAAACAAAAAAGAAGGTAGGTAACATGTATTGAACCGGAAGAATCCTCCTGCCCCTCCTTGTTTCTACCTACCTTTCACTATTTCCATAACTGGCCAATCAAGCAGCATTTCCTTTGATCATCCGTAGGAGCCCAAGTGGGAATATTTTTAGAGTCAAGCCAAGACACATTTTTGTTCCCAGGTTAAAGCACCTCCTTATTGTCATTCCTGGGAGGTGTTCCCTGCCTGAGGGAACCACCTTACCATCTTGGAAACGGGTAATTAAGACTTTAGGAATAAGTGTTGTTCTCAGAAAAACAGTGCTTTCTTTTCCTTTCATTGCCTCTAACAAAGGAGATCATTTACTTTTTCCAGCCAGGCCCAACCTCTTTCCCTGTACCTTTCCCAAGTCAATGCCAAGAACAGTGAAATGCCCATAGCAGGCACATAATAAATGATTGTTGAACCAGGAAAGCACTGAATACTGGTAAGTTCCCCACTGTTAATTTGGACAACAGCCCCTTTCACAGATAAAGGTAAAAAAGGCTACGTTGATAAGGGCTTAGAGCCCCGGGCTTATAAACTAGGGGTAGAGTTAAACTATCACTGAGCCTCTTTAATTAAAAGAAAAATAGGTACTTTGGGGAAAGCTCTAAACTTGGAGTCACCAAACTTAAATTTGAAACCTGTGTCTGTCATTTATCACCTCTATGACCTGGGGCAAGTAACTTAACCTCTCTGGGTCTCAGTTTCCTCTTATGTAAAATGAAGGGAATGGACCAAAGGACCTTAAATGTCCTTTCTCATGCACACATATGAATATTAGTTCAGTAGAATGTAAGCAGGGGTGGTTTTTCATTTTGGAAATGTGCCAATGTTTTATCCCCCAACTAGACTCCTTTAAGGTCAAGGATCATATCTCATTGTCTGTTCCCCCATAGCACCCAAAACAGTACTAA